GAGAGATCGCATTATGCATGCTGGTAATTAATCTACTGATGACAATCACCATATGGTAATACGTAACTGATCGACATCATCATGTGTTAAATTATACTTATGACTCAATCATGTGTTAATTATTATCCTACTGATGATATCTGATGTGCTTAATTACCTACTGCATAGACATCATCATGTGGTAATTACCTTAACCGATAGAGATGTTTACGTACTGATAATATCATCATGGCGATAGGCTACCTATGATAAGCACCTATGCTGATACAAACGTAGTTATCGCGCTGCCGCACTACAAGTGAATAGACAACTACGAATCTATTCGTTATCAACGCAATGATAATGAGCATAGTAAGCTCCATGACTTGCGAGAAATCAGCTCATAAAACTCACAGCTAAGCATCGCACGGTAAATTGCAAATTTTTTGTCGAGTTCGGTCGAATGAGACTCCGCCTCTTCGCTGTAACAGAAACAAAATAACACGTCGGTGAAAATGTGTTAGTCGCGGAGAAAATGCAATGAAGGGTCGACTCGGCGGATGCGCGCAGGGCCGTAACGGAATCGACGTGCTCTATTTACGTCATTCACAATCAAAGTCTCCATTTGACACAATAATATTTCAATTCGCACTTCCACGTAAGTGATTGCTACAATGCAACTGCTGGCCGGAATTAATTAAATTTATTCTGCGAAGGTCTTCGATCAACCGTTGCGCACATCGCGATTTGAACGTATTAGCGTGAAAATTGCAGCGACTATGGCACCGATTGACCAAAAATGGAGAGAAATGTAGACATCTTGGACAATCACGGCTGATATACACAATTAAAGTGGGCAGGCGAACTGTAGGCTAATGCACGATTTGTACTTTTCACTACGCAGAACGCATTCTGACCACACGCAGAAAGTTAAAACATACACGAAAGACATTGCGCCATTTAAAATGATTAAATTGACTTCTAATACTTCAATAGACTATTTATCAGAAAGTGAATTAACGATGCCAAGCGGGCCGTATTAGGATACACGGGAAAACACATGCAGCGTAGATAATCCTAGATCGATTTGTCTTGCCAAGACTAAACTAGTTTCATTCCAATAAAGAGAACAGTATAAGTGTTATTACTTATACTAATACTGTGGTTTTCATAAACTCTTCGTCGGCTTTTTGACGTGTTGCCCTGAGAACGACGTTAACCTGTGTTTTAACAGGTAGGCAATATGCAATTATTCATGTGCTTGGAAGAAAAATACATTAATGATATAGCAGATTCCATGACGAGATGGCAATAATTATATGATATTAAAGAAATAACATATAGTTGCCCAAATATTTACATCCGCGCGTTGATTATATGCAATAATGTAGTAATATTTACTGATGGAATGAGTTGATCGAATTGGATGACTAGATAGATAGATAGGATAGATAGATAGATAGATAGATAGAGTTAGATAGATTAGATAGATAGATAGATAGATAGATAGATAGATAGATGGATGGATGCATGCATGGATGCATGGATTGGATTGGATGCATGCGAAATTTCTGAACTCTCACGATGTAAACAAACTCAAGTCTATGAACATATGTCACATGTGTTGCGTGCAATCTTCCGATCTGCTCAATCTACGAATCTGCCGACTGTGTGGCATCAGCACCTAAAACTCGCACCTAAAACCCACGATGGTAAACCTGCTTGCAAAACCGGGCCTGCGCAATCTCATCGAACTAGCAATTAACACAACCCCAGCTGATAAACCTGTCTGCAAAATCGGGATCCACCTACTGCTAATATCTATTGCAATATTAACACTATAGCCAATGTAAAATCGGTTGATTGTGCAGATCGGCAGATTACACGCAACACGTGTTCGCTCTTTTTGGAACCGAGATGGCCGACGGCACAGGATTGTAGGTAATATTGCTAATTTTAGTGCAAATCGCGGAACCCTCTATATTGTGGATGGGGGGTGAGGCTGTTCGCTCCTCGGTCGGCCGATCAGTGCGAGTCTATAGTTCGCCACTCTAGTGGACGTGTAACGTGAGCGCGCGCTTCGCTGCGCCGGTGAGCATCGTATACCCACCGCGAGTGCTCTGTTAATACTGCAGGCCGCCGCCGCGCGCGCCCTCCCACGTCTTCTCTCCTTTTAATTACCACTAATGGTTTTGTCACGACCTAGCGGCGGTCGGTCGCTGTATTCGGCGAGGGAGGCCGCAGTAAGAGGCTTGTATTGTGCTGCCGAGCTCCTGATCTGATACGCGCCAGCCAGCCCGCACACGGTGGCTGCGCTGCGCTAATGGACGCCTGTACTGCCTGCCTGCTCTCGCTACACGCTCATTGTAGTCGCGTAATGTATGCGCTGGACGTGATTATATGTGGATCGCGCTACAGTTGCCGTCTCTCTGTTATCACGTATGTGATCAGCTTATCAGTAATGTTTTATCATGTAGTCAGCCTGTTAGTAATGTTTTATTACGTTGTCAGCTTATCAGTAATGTTTTATTACGTGGTAATTTTATTAGTAATGTGTTATCACGTGCTCAGCTTATAATCTATCTATCTATCTATCTATCTATCTATCTATCTATCCATCCATTCATCAATCATTCCATCAGTAAATATTACTACATTATTGCATATAATCAAGGGCGGATGTAAATATTTGGCAACTATATGTTATTTGCTTTAATATCATATACATGTATTGATCGTCCGTCAGTGGAATCTTTGGCTATATCATTAATGTATTTTTCATTCCAAGCACACTGAATAATTGCATATTGCTACCTAGTTAAAACAGGTTAACGTCGTTCTCAGGGCAACACGTCCAAAAGCGACGAAGAGTTTTATGAAAAGCCACAGTATTAGTATAAGTAATAATACTTATACTGTTCTCTTTATTGGAATGAAACTAGTTTAGTCTTGCAGACAATCGATCTAGGGATAATCTACGCCTGCATGTGTTTTCCCGTTTATCCTAATACCCCGTTGCATGTTAATTCACTTTCTGATAAATGTCTATTGAAGTATTAAGTCAATTTAATCATTTTAAATGGCAATTCTTTCGTGTATGTTTTAATTTGCTGGTGTGTAAATGCGTTCTGGTATGTGAAAAGTACAATTGCATTAGCCTACAGTTCGGCCTGCACTTTAATTGTGTATTATTCAGCGTGATTGTCAAGATGTCTACATTTTCTCTCCATTTTTGTCAATCGGTGCACATAGTCGCATGCAATTTCGCGCAATACGTTCAAATCGCCGAGTGCGCAACGGTGATCGAAGACTTCGCAGAATAAATTTAATTATCCGGCCAGCAGTGCATTGTAGTCAATCACTTACGTGGAAGTGCGAATTGAAATATTATTGTGTCAAATGGGAGATTTGCATGTGAATGACGTAAATGAGCACGTCGATTCGTGACGGCCCTGGACGCGCATCGGCGAGTCGCTGATTGCATTTTCTCTCGACTAACACATTTTCACCGACGTGTTATTTTGTTTCTGTTACAGCGAAGAGGCGGAGTCTCATTCGACCGAACCGACAAAAATGCAATTTACGTGCGAATGTTAGGTGAGTTTTATGAGCTGATTTCTCGCAAGTCATGGAGCTTATATGTCATTATCATTGCGTGATAACGAATAGATTCGTGTTGTCTATTACTGTGGGCAGCGCGATAACTAAATTTGTATCAGACAGGTGCTTATCATAGGTAGCTATCGCATGATGATATTATCAGTACGTACATCTCTATCTGTTAGGTAATTACCACATGATGATGTCATCAGTAGGTAATTAACACATGATGATATCATCAGTAGATAGATAATTAACACATGATGATATCATAAGTAGGTAATTAACACATGATGATGTCATCAGTAGGTAATTACCATATGGTGATGTCATCAGTAG